GCTGCTGCAGCTGTTGTTCCTTCTGCTGCTGTAGCTGTAGCTGGTGATGAAGCTGCTGTTGTTGCTGTTGTTGTAGAGAGAGAGCTTGCATCTGCTGCTGTAGGTGGAGGTGGTGATGGTTGTGTCTGACTTCCTGCTGTGCACTGAACACTGGGATCTGTCCCATAGCAGTATTGATTGCCTCTATGGGACCCCGCTGCTGCTGTTGCTGCTGCTCCCCCAGTCGACTCTCAATGTACAACTGTGGCTCAATGGCTGTCTGCCGAACAGGTTGTGAGAGTGCCCTGCCCCGTCCCCCTTGGGCCTCCTCCCCAGGCAACTGTCCTAGCAGATGGCCCGCCTGGCTTGCTGCCACAACACCTATCGGGTTATTATCTATCTCTGGTGCCGACCGTGCACGCTCCCTGCCTTCCTCCGTCCTGAGGGCAGAAATGTTCTGGTATATGGGTTCCTGGGAGCCTTGCACTGCCCCAGATGGATACTGAGGAGGGTCTGGGTATTGGCCCCCGAACTGCTGAGGATAGTGCCCTGCTCCGGCGTAGTGTGGCCTTGCACCCTGCCCCTGCTGTGAAGGTTGGCCCTGTGCCTCTGCTGCAAATATGGGGTTCAGATTCAGGTTCGTCCCTAGGGCCACATGGCCATTGCTCAGTTGGTAAATGGCATCCAGGTCATCACGAGAGTAATTGTGACTGAAAGAATGTAAGAATGAGCTGCCGGTCTCTGTTGTCCGAGTTAGGTCGTTGCGCAGACTCTCCACGGCCTCACTGATGTCAGCAAGGTTTTCGTAGGTTCGGGAGAGGCCGGGGGATCCCAAGCACCCCAAGGAGGCTGTCAGCAACGCTCGCCTTCTTGACGCTAGGTCTGGGCTTGAGCTCCCAACCTAAAACATTCAAAACATAAAGAAATATATATAAATATTGTTAATTTAATATATACATACACTTATCTGCTTATATGAATGCATGTATTTGTGGGGGGGGGGGGGGGGGTAGGTATATGTGTGTGTGAGACTGTGTGTGACAGTGTGTGTGTGTGTGTGTGTGTGTGTGTGTGTGTGTGTGTGTGTGTGTGTGTGTGTGTGTGTGTGTGTGAGTGTAATTATGTGTGTGTGTGTGTGTGTGTGTGTGTGTGTGTGTGTGTGTGTGTAGTGTGTGTGTAGTGTGTGTGTGTGTGTAGGTGTGTGTGTGTGTGTGTAGGTGTGTGTGTGTGTGTGTGTAGGTGTGTGTGTGTGTGTAGGTGTGTGTGTGTGTGTAGGTGTGTGTGTGTAGGTGTGTGTGTGTGTGTGTGTGTGTAGGTGTGTGTGTGTGTGTGTGTGTGTGTGTGTGTGTGTGTGTGTGTGTAGGTGTGTGTGTGTGTGTGTGTGTGTGTAGGTGTGTGTGTGTGTGTGTGTGTGTGTGTGTGTGTGTGTGTGTGTGTGTATGTTCGTATGTATATGTGTAAGCGCGTGCATGTGTAGGTGTGTGTGTGTGCATGTGTAGGTGTGTGTGTGTGTGTGTGTGTGTGTGTGTGTGTGTGTGTGTGTGTGTGTGTGTGTGTGTGTGTGTGTGTGTGTGTGTGTATGTGTGTGTGTGTAGGTATGTGTGTGTGTGTGTAGGTATGTGTGTGTGTGTGTAGGTATGTGTGTAGGTATGTGTGTGTGTGTGTGTGTAGGTGTAGGTAAGTGTGTGCGTAGGTGTGCAGGTGTGTAGAGGTGTATGTGTACATGTGTGTAGGTAGGTAGGTATGTATGTAGGTAGGTAGGTAGGTAGGTAGGTAGGTAGGTAGGTAGGTAGGTATGTAGGTAGGTATGTATGTATGTAGGTATGTAGGTAGGTATGTATGTAGGTATGTAGGTAGGTGCATAGGTAGGTAGGTGTATAGGTAGGTAGATTGTTGTGTGTAGATTGGTAGGTAGGTAGGTTGTGTGTAGGTTGGTAGGTAGGTGTGTAGGGAGGTAGGTGTGTGTGTAGGTTGGTATGTAGGTGTGTGTGTAGGTTGGTATGTAGGTGTGTGTGTAGGTTGGTATGTAAGTGTGTAGGGAGGTGTGCGTGTCTGTAGGTGTGTGCGTAGGTGTGTAGGTGTAGGTAAGTGTGTGCGTAGGTGTGCAGGTGTGTAGAGGTGTATGTGTACGTGTGTGTAGGTAGGTAGGTATGTAGGTAGGTATGTAGGTAGGTGCATAGGTAGGTAGATTGTTGTGTGTAAGTTGGCAGGTAGGTAGGTTGTTGTGTGTAGGTTGGTAGGTAGGTGTGTAGGGAGGTAGGTGTGTGTGTAGGTTGGTATGTAGGTGTGTGTGTAGGTTGGTATGTAAGTGTGTAGGGAGGTGTGCGTGTCTGTAGGTGTGTGTGTAGGTGTATGTGTAGTTGTATGGTAGGTGTATGTGTAGGTGTGTCTTTAGGTGTGTAGGTTGATAGGTAGGTAGGTAGGTAGGTAGGTGTGTGTGTGTGTGTAGGTTGGTAGGTGTACTGGTTGGAAGGTTGGTAGGTAGGTAGATAGGTGTGTAGGTAGGTAGGTGTCAGTCGGT